TTTGGCTGTAATTCTCATTGATTCCTTGATGCTGCACTTGGTTGAATGCTACATTAATCTCAAGGGCTGTCACTTTCACTTCACTTCTGGAATTCAGCTCTTTTGCCGATGTTTGAACCAAGGCTGTAATGAGCTGAGTGGCCCTGGCAGAATCCAAACATGTCATTGAACAGGTTATTGAAAAACAAGTGCTGCTTGATAGCGCTGTTGATGACACCTTCCAGCACTTTGATGATCTAGAGTCGACTGATGGGCCCCGTAATTAGCTGGGTTGTATTCTTCCAACTTTGTGTTTAGGACACAGAAAATATTCCACATTGCAGGATAGATGCCAGTATTGTAGCTGCACTAAAAAAGCTTGACCAGAAGTGCAGCTAGTTTCGGAGCACAAATCTTCAGTTATTAATGCCAGAATGTTAGGGCCCAAAGTCTTTGCAGTTTCCACTGTCTTCAGCAATTTCTTGATATCATGTGGAGTGAATCAAATTGTTTGAAGACTGGCATCTGTGATGTTGGGGACCTCTAGGGGAGCTGAGATTGAGAATTCACTTGGCACTTCTGGCTGAAAGTGCATGCAAATGCTCCAGCATTGTCTTTTGTGTTTACATTTTAGCTTCCGCATTATAGGCGATGGAAATATTTGTGAAGCCTCCACCTCCTATTAGTTATTTAGCTGTCCACCACCATTCATGTTCGGATATGACAGGACTGCAAAGCTTTGATCAGTTCATTGGATGTTGGTGTGCAGTAAATTGTGATCAGCAGGAGCCTTTGACTAGATGCTGTGCAACTTTGTGGAGGTCAGAATTAATGTTGAGGGCTTCCAGGCTACTTTGATGCTGTGCAACTTTGTGGAGATCAGAATTAATGTTGAGGGCTCCCAGGCTACTTTGTCTTGACTGTAAACCACCGTGTTGCTACTTCTGGCTAGTTTTTCCTGCTTTGGGATAGGACATAGCTAGGAATGGAGATGAACGAGTTTGGGAGATAGGCTTCAGGGTGTGATTTGGTGAATATGATTATTTTTAGCCCATTGCGAAACTCTCCTATTACTGGTGTTTGTGTTCCACATGAACATCCTCCTATTCCTCTTCAGCTAATTCATTATCGATATAAAATTTTATCTATTTCTCATATGTTTGTATAATTTCCTCTTAGATCTATCAATCTTGTTTTTCTCCACTGATCTTGCTGCTGGTTAGTTTCACATTCTAAATATTCCTTGAGTAAGGACTTCTCTTTTGAATTTAATAGTCACTATCTTGTACTTATAGCCACTAATTTCTGCAAGTGGAAAATCATTTACTCATCTACCATGTCAAACCCTTTCATAATCTTAAAGTCCAGTCCTCAGAGTGAGTGCTCACAATGGTCTCTGGATTACTAATCCAGAAACATAATTACAAATCTACTGTCTCTAAAGTGATACAAAAGAGAAAGAGATAATGGGTTCAATTCAAGAGCTTTAGGGAGAGATATATTTTAAGATTTAAAAAGAAGGAGAATGATGCTGAGAAAACAACGGGGTGTGGAGCAATAGGGAGGGAAATCTGCGGTTGCAAAAAATACGCAAGGGAGGACAGAATTTAGATTAATAGAATTTTAGATTTACTGACTGCGTCTGAAATATTTTTACCAAAAAAACCTTTAAGATCCCGTTATTTTGTTTTCCATTACAAACTACAATTACATAAATGATGCAGATGTCATTAATTAAAATGCTTATTATAATTTTCTAACCATAAACAAAAACACAAGTGATTAATTAAAGTCTTCAACACAATTCTAACTCAGGACAAGAGTCGACTGAACTTGAGGTGTACAATATGTTCTGACCTCGGTTGGACGAGACCAAGGAATGTTTCACTCACAGGCCTTATCTGCATAAGGCCCATCTGATTCATGCTGAAACTAGCAACTAGCTCCCATTGGCTAATGGGTAGGAGTGGAATGCAGAGCAGGGTTAAAACCACCCTTTTGTGCTTACCTGAGAAACTTACAAAAATTGAACTTATTTTTGCGTAGAGAGGAACAAATGTCATTTAGATGCCATGAGGAAATAAATTGTAAAAAAACTAAACAAAATTTGGAAACAATGATCGATAGAAAATTTGACACTATCAAATAATTGTCCCAAAAATAAGTCTATTTCACTGTCTATCCTTCTGCATATGTCATTCTTTTCTGAATTTATGATTAAGAATTGTCACCAAATGACTTGAAAAATATCATTCTACAGCTTGTTTTCCGATTATTTAAGGAACTTAGAAATCTTTTTATACTGTAACGAGACACAATCATGAGACACTTGCACTGAGACATGCCAGGAATTTTGTATGTGCTCACATTGTGGAGTCTGTCTTTAGTTAACAGAGTAATGGTTCAGGGAAAATTCTCAGGGTGAAGCCAAGTTTTAAGCCCACAAACAGAAACACTAAATGATGCTCTTCAAAGTCACAACTGATAATTATATCGGTACTTTAATCATGCTGCTGTAATATATAAGTATTTAATTTGATACACATAATTCTGGATATTAAACATTGCAGCTTATACGAAGCAGTATGCTGGGTAAAAAGACTGATATTTCTTCCAAGCAAATTATTTGAGTGACTTTAAAATTGGTAGGCTTTTTTGTTAGTCTGCATAGATATATGGCGGTCAGAACAGTTAGGCTTGTAATTTACCATCTTTATTGTAGCTAATCATAAGTGTGAAAACAGATTATGATAGTGAGGAAATGTGTGCTCTTGCATTTGATAGGTATTTGGCCATGTCTTCAAAGGAATATAGGAATTTCTTTTCATTAGTGAGAAACAAAATGTTATGTATTGTTTTAGGCGCATCATTCCATTAAGTGTGAGACAAAGCAAGGAGGCGAGCCTCCGTGCACCATTACAGCCAGTATAAGGTTTGAACCATGAGATTGGCATCATTCTGCATCACACACTAGCTGTCTAGTTTTTCATAAGTGATAAATTGACACAAATATGGACATTGATATATACACTGCTTTTGCACTGCTGTATCACAATCACTTATTTAATATTTCAGGATTGCAATTCAACAAATTAAAAGAACAAACATAATTCCCAGTTCCATCACACGTTGTTATAATACTAGTAATAAATACCTATTTTACTCTTTTGTGGAATGTGGGTGTTGCTGGTGCAGTTAGCATTTATTGCCCAACTCTAATTGCCTTGAACTTGAACTATTACGAGGGGGCATAATTTTAAGGTGATTGGAGGAAGGCATGGGGTGATGTCAGAGGTAGGTTCTTCACACAGAGAGTGGTGGGCGTGTGGAATGCGCTGCCGGCAGTGGTAGTGGAGTCAGATACTTTAGAGACTTTTAAGCGACTCTTGGATAGGCCCATGGAGGATAGTAAAATGTAGAGTATGCAGTATAGATTGATCTTAGAAGGATAATAGGTCGTCACAACATCATGGGCCGAAGGGCCTGTAGAGTGCTGTACTGTTCTATGTTCTATGTTCTATGTTCTATGAGTGGTCCATTTCAGTGGGCAGTTAAGAGTTAACCACATTGCTGTCTGGAGTCTAGAGTCACTTGTAAGCCAGACCAGGTAAGGTTGTCAGATTTCCTTCACTAAAGGACTTAGTGACTCAGGTATGTTTTTACTGAAATTAGTGATAGTTCTCGTAGTCACCACTACTGAGACTAACTCTATATTTCAGGTTTTATTATTTGAATTTAAATATCACCAGGTGAAGTGGAAGGGGACACAATGGCCTAGTGGTATTAATCACGAATCTGTTAATCCAGAGAGCCAGATAATGTTCTGGGGACCCAGGTTTGAATACTGCCTCGGCAGATGGTGGAAATTGAATTCAATATATTAAAAATAAACCTGGAACTAAGAGTCTAAAGATGACCATGAAGTCATTGTCAACTGTCAGGAAAAACCTGCCTGGTTCACCAATGTCCTTTGGGAAAGCAAACTGCCATCCTGGCCAGAATTTTCCAATCCTCAGGGATAAGCATGAAGACAGGAATGCTCGGGAAAATTGTCTAGTCTCCCATTTTGCCAACAGTGGAAAAACTGATAGATAGGTCATCCCTTTGGAGCACAACTGAAGATGTTAGGTGGCATTTAAAGGCCTCTTCCCCTTCACTTTTCTCGGCATTTTGTCAGTGGGAATGACTGTCCAATGCTGTATGAGGAGACAATGCAGTGAAACCTGATGACCTCACACGTGTGACCCTATTGTGGCATAGCTGAAGCTGCTCAGCTGGTGGCACTCAGATTGGCACTCAGGAAAAGCAACTCCTGAACGCTGGCTGCCATTTTTAATAGGGAAGACACCAACAAGGCTCATCAGTTCCTTCTACTGGCTGAAATGGGTTTGCTTCCTGTTGTTGACCTCAGGGATGTGACCTCACCCTCATAAAATTCAGCCCACTGTTTTCAAATTGACAATAGACACCACACAGAATAATTGCACTTACAATATAAAAATAGTGTTGGAAACCCACATGATCTTCATGGTGACTGATCCTATGACAGAAGTGACTATCATCAGTCTTTTGCATTGATTCTCTATTCTCACCTCAGGAAAATAAACAGTTACTTTGGAACATTAAATGGTAACATCCAACAATCACTATAATTCATTTTAATTGTTTTTATCACTAAGAAAATGCAGTTGCGATGGACTATAAAATAGATTTCAAAGAATTAAATTGTGGCTTGTGTCCCTATCTGTGAGTGACAAAACCTGCATTCAAGTCCCACCTGATCTAGAGGTGTATCAAGACACATTGGAGCAGGTTAATTAACAATATCAACAACAGGTTTCAATAAATACGTATTGTCATTACCCAGCATCATGTCATGTTATGAATTTTGAGTCGCTACTTTAGAAATTGGACACAAACATGATGCGGGATGATTGTCCAAATCAGGTCATTGTTGGCATTTAATCTATAAACAGTATTTGCTCTCAAGTAAATATCTAATTAAATATGGACATTTACAGCCGTCCAGAGAATTCACACATTATTTAAGGATGGACAAATACAAAAGACTATGGAGTTTCGAGACTGTCTGCCTCCATGTTTCATACTGGACATGAGGGAAGATTGAAACTTAATTTGTGGTAGGTGGAAGTGAATGGTTACTATAAACTTCTCAATGTATCTCGGGTGAACCCCAGCAGAGTTATCCAACAACTTGGGATATGGAAACAGCTCATTTGTAAAATGTCTTGAAATTGTAATAAGCCATATCGAGATAGCCATGTTTTCTTTTTTCTGTTTGAAAGGTCAGCTAAGACCTGTTTGCAAGTAGATCCAAGAGCCATCAGAACCATCAGGACAGTCATCTGTGAACCAGAATTGGATACAAGGTGCTAGACATCAGGCACCAAAGTACATAACCTGTTTCAAATTAAAGTACACCTCCCAGATATGAGACTATGAGAAAACTCATAACCTGCTGTGAACCATTTTCTTCACAAGGCCCTTACTTCAATTCTGAAGCATTGAATTGATTTAAGGAACTGAAAGCATGCCACACGGGAGATCAGATATCATGAATCAGAGACTGAGTTAACTGTAATCTGTAAAGGTGTAGTGGCTCTATCAGTACTCAATCTTAGTGGGGTTGTGAGCGTATGCTTGTGAGGGCAGCTGTGTGTAAAATGTGTTAATTCAAGAAAAATGTGAGAGAATAAATAACATTTCAATCTAAACTCACAAAAGCTTGCTGCTGACTTTTTAGCTAAAACACACACTTTCCAAGGATAAGAAAAGGCAAACCTATTTTCATACAAAGTATACTGATTGTGTGAGGTGAGAAAGAACATAAATTCTGTCTGTAGCATTTTGTTTCCCTGTCATCACTTGCAGATATTCATATTCTGTTTAAGACTTAATTTAAGTGAGTGTGAGATTGTAATTAAAATTTTGCCCACTAGTTGGCATGTGAGATAGTAGTTCATCTTTTGTTTCTATTTGGCAATTCTATTGAATTTTCTGATGATTGATTCATAAAGCCTTAATAAGCACATTTGACATGCCGACATTTAACATAAAGTTATAGAATCATAGAGATACACAGCACGGAAACAGACCCTTAGTCCAACTCATCCAAGCTGATCAGATATCCTAAATAAATCTAATCATATTTGACAGCATTTGGACCATATCCCTCAAAACCCTTCCTTTTCATATACCCATCCAGAAGCCTTTTAAATATCATACTTATAACAGCCTCCACCATTTCCTTTGGCAGCTCATTCCAGACACACACCACCCTCTGCATGAAAAAGTTGCCCCTTAGATCCCTTTTAAATCTTTCCCCTCTCACCTTAAATTTATGCCCTCTAGTTTTGGACTCCCCCACCGCAGGGAAAAGACCTTGTCTATTTACCCTACCCATGCCCCTCATGATTTTATGGACCTCTATAAGGCCACCCCTCGGTCTCTGACGGTCCAAGGTAAGTAACCCCGGTTTATTCAACCTCTTACTATAGCCCAAACCCTCCAACCTTGGCAACATCCTTGTAAATCTTTCTAAACCCTTTCAAATTTCACAACATCCTTCCTATAGTAGGGAGACCAGAATTGCACGCAAAATTCTAATAGTGGTCTAACCAATGTCCTGAACAGCTGCGACATGATCTCCCAACCCCCTATACTCAATGCACTGACAAATAAAGGCAAGCATATCAAACACCTTCTTCACCACCCTATCTGCCTGTGACTCCACTTTCAAGGAACTATGAATCTGTACTCCAAGGTCTCTTTGTTCAGCAACACTCCCCAGGACCTTACCAATAAGTGTATGAATCCTGCTCTGATTTGCCTTTCCAAAACGCAGCACCTCACATTTATCTAAATTAAACTCAATCTGTTACTCCTTGGCCCATTGGGCTAACTGAGCAAGATCCCACTGTTCTCTGAGGTAACCTTTTTTGCTAAAAATGCAAAGAACTGCAGATGCTGTAAATCAGAAACAAAAACAGAGGTTGCTGGAAAAGCTCAGCAGGTCTGGCAGCATGTGTGAAGAAAAATCAGTGTTAACGTTTCGGGTTCAGGTGAGGAAGGGTCACCGAGTCCAAAACATTAACTCTGCTTTTTCTTCACACATACTGCCAGACCTGCTGAGCTTAATCTTCTTCACTGTCCACTGCACCTCCTAGTTTGGTGTCATCTGCAAACTTACTAACCATACCTCCTATGTTCACATCCAAAACTTTTATATAAATGACGAAAAGCAGTGGACTCAGCACTGATCCTTGCGGCACATCACTGGTCACAGGCCTCCAGTCTGAGAAGGAACCCTTTCACCACCATCCTCTGTCTTCTACCTTCGAGCCAGTTCTGTATTCAAGTAGCTAGCCTTCCCTCTATTCTGTGTGAGCTAACCTTGAAACAATTAGTCATAATACCAGTTAACAAAAGAGAAAATCATTGGAACTTTCTAAATAACTTGCCTCTTAGTTTACTCATTTGCAGTTTGTATGAAGGTAATGCTACTGAACTGGTATAAAACTACTGGAAGTTCTAGTTTGACGGGGCAGTATTTCACTGTTATAAATTCAAATGCCATTGTTAATTCATCCCAGGATTCCTTCCGGTGTACCTTTGATCTTTACTCCTATTTTGTTGTGATCTGCTGGCTAGTAGAATGTATAATTTAGAATATCTTGCAAAAAAAAAGTGATTACAAGAACTTGGGACTATGTCTACAGTGTAATTATGTAATTACGAGATGCTTTGTAAAATCCCTCATTCAACTGGTCAATATAGACAGTGGCTGAAATGTTCTGCCACATTTTAGTGTAAGAATTGTCTAGCAGAAGTGAAATGGTTTTATTTAAATTTAGGGAAGTACCAGTAATATCAAGTCAGAGTCTATCTTTTCGTGTACAATTATTCTTCATCAGAAGCAGCTCTCCCCGATAGTTGGGACAGTTCAAAATTATATTGACATCAATTCCCAATACCTTTTAAACATTTTGAAAATCTGGTGCATACTTACCAACAACTTTTTTTTGCACCTCAGGATGAATTACATCTACTTTAAAGTGAACGGTCACAAATCTGAGACGTTAACTATTTTTGTCTCTCTCTTTTTACAGAAGCTGCTTGAACAGCTGCGCACTTCCAGTATTTTCTGGTTTTATTTCAAGATTTCCAGCATCCGCAACTTTCTGCTTTTGTACTACTGTTTCAAGTGATAACATTCACTCTTCGTATTTACAATATTTGGACCGTTATTTGACGATGCTAATACTTAATATACACAAGATTCGTTTTATTCTCAGTCTTAACCGCCAATTAAATATTAAGAGAATGGTTTAGAATTGAAGCAGACTATTATTTGAGGACCTTGTCTTAAACTCTCAATTGGACTCAAACAATTGGCATGATCATTTACACTATTAAATAGGAATTCGCCTCCATAGGATTTTGCATCTTGTTTTTCTCCCACACCTGATTTGACAGTGTAGTGTTCCCTAAGCTTTTGTAAAAGTGTCAGCTAATTAAAAAATTGGAGCAAGTTACAGTGGTAAATTGGAACTGGCGTTACAGTATTGTGATACGAAGCAGGATTTCTTACACATTAACACTGGCAGCTGTTCGTTAATACAGTATTGCCTATCCGACTGGAATCATTCAAATAGCTATACGACAAAGTACAAATAAACACAAACACAGGGAAGGCTTTTATAGATTGAACACTCCTGTGTCACAACTTGCAGGCGTATGTTGGTTTTTCCAATAGAAATTCGCCGTGCAGATGGGACTGTGGAATAAATATGCAACATGACTTCTTTTTAAATTATAACTACGTGGCTTTGCTACACATGCTGAATGTGTTGGAGCAGAGATGACCGACAGCATTACAGACAGGTCACCGAAACAAAGGCAACACAATATTACACACAAACTCTCCTCACTCCAGCACTGTGCACACTTTTGTCTAATGGCTGGCCCGATTAACCTGCCAGTGATAAAGCTTCAACAAAACTAGACAGCACGTCTGCGCTCGGCTGCAGACCTCAGGGGTAAGAGGAGATTGCCAGCAGACAGGAATGAATTATTCACCGAGATATCTACCTCTTCGAGACTGCGAGAGCGAGATGGAAATTTCACCAGCTTAAAGTTTTCACTCCGTACAGATTTCCCCAAACTCTTCTCACAGCCGCGGAAACACGACTTTTTATGTCGTTTAGACGCAACACCAAAGGGAATAAATCCTTCGTTTATGCTTAAAAACCCGCTAAGAACATATTTCTTTAGTAAGTGTTAAGTGTCTTGTTTTATTTTGCTATTTAACCCTATGTACAGCAGCTGCGCGAATGTGTTGCTGAAATATGTTATTAACAATGATTTGAGGTTATGATCTAAATATTTAATTGATACCTTCTTTGGAGTTGTTCATTTCTGCTTCAAGGATTCAAAGCTGTAACCTAAGAAATTTGTAATTTTAACTATATTTATTCTTCACAACAACATTCTCAGAAGGAGCACAGGGAGCGGGCTTCTTGAACCCAACCCTTTTAACGGTGTTCCATATTGGATGCAAAGGAAGTGGTTTCCAAACACCTACAATTAATAAGGCAGTTTTGAAACAATAACAGCACATAGAAAACTGGGTGAGATCGGTGGGAGCTACTTATAAGTTAAGGTCCCTTAGATCTTTGTAGGCACAATAACAACCTGTTTTCCTCAAGATACACTGTGTTATTGATGCCACCGCTAACAGCAACTGATGCCCCATCTCTAACATATCTACATTCTCTAAATAAACCATTGCGATAAACTTTCACCCAGAGTACATCTGCTTGGTATGCCACCTTTTCAATCTACTCATTTCATTCCTGTCTAAAGCTGAAAACAGAAAGGGGCATGCAATTTGGGACAAATATGCTCATTATTTTTAAACTGTTGCTTTATATTTTATATAGTTTTGGTAGTAAATCTTTGGTTTTACCAAGATCTTTTTAAAAACAGTTTTATCAACTTGTCCTCTCACATCTAATGATTCATGTTCGAACTTAGCCATACCACATCTCTGCTCATTTTAAAGTTTTATTACTTACTGTATACATTCTCACCATACTCTTCCACTCAAAATGTATCATCTCACATTTCACTTCATTAAACTTCAACTAACATCTGTTCCATTCATTAAATTGCTTATGTCCATTCTCCATTATTTACATTCTTTTCACAGTAAACCATGTTACCTATTCCTGTGCCTTCTGCAAACTTTTATATTGTACCTTTTTAATCACAAAAAGCCATTTCTTCCATTTTACATTTATTGAGAAAAGTAATGGCGCAAACACTGAACACTTTACATCTCATTGGTATGAAAAATATTAGTTAATTCTCTCTGAACCTTAAACAACTTCCTCACCACGACACCACACACCCTTCCGAATTTGTCTTAAGTTGATTAACAAGCCCTTTTCACATTTCACCTTATTAAATATCTTTTAAAATCTATATATACATTATTTGTTACATTTCATTCATGAATGAACTCCATTATTTCAGCAAAGAACTTAATAACTGTATTAAGCATGCCTTACCTTTTCTAAATCCATATGAGAATACATATTGTCCATAACTGACCTTTTAGTTAAGTCTCAATTTTATCCAGTAGCATAGCTGCCCAACTACACTTTTTAAACTGTTAAGTCAGTAGTTAACTAATAATCTCTTTTTGAACAAAAGGATGGAGTGACAAAGCTACATATTACATTTACATCCTTAAAATCCTTAACATACACCCAAAATGCTGACAGCTAATTCAACATTTTTGAAGCGTGGCTGCTGTTTTAATGTCGAGAAAGTTGGCAGCCAGTTTGCAGATAGAAATTCCCCACAAGCAGAAATGAGAGGAACTGTTTTAGTAATGTTAGTTGAAAGAAGGATGTTAATCCAGATGCAAAGAGAATTCCCCTTCTCTTGCATTGTGCATCAGACTTATTAAGTCTATTGGAAGAAGGAAGGTGGGAAATTATACAGTGATAAGCCTTCAGTTTTTTTGACAATTCCCATAACTGAGGCTGTTTGAAGGATTGTGGCAGATCCTCTACCATTTTCTCTCTGACTCCTTCATCGGGATCCAGGGTTTTCTTAAAAATATCCATTTTACTACAACTTTCTTTTCTATATCAACCTAAGTGCTTCAATTTTATGTCCTGTCTCCTTTCATTTCCTTACCACACACTTCAGTGAAAGCTGTTGCAAAGTACTCCTTTCGTGTGTCTGCTATTCTTTCCTTGCTCAATAATCTTTCAACTTTAATTGGCCCTATCCTTTAATTTATTTTTGTACGTTATACGGCCTTTACTACTTTTCATTTAGGTTACCTGCCATCTTTAATCAGATCTTCTTTAAACTGTTCTAATCTTTTGCTTATTCAATATATTTTCTTCATTTGGATTAATTTTTATCATGTTCGAAACGCTAGATTTGTCATATATCATTTGCCTTCTAGAATCTCATTTTAATATTAATTTCTCTAGTCATCCACAGAAGTCTTAATCCTGATCATCACCTTTTTGATCATTTCCAGTTTGCTAGTGTTTTTTTCCTATTTAATGGTGCCAGTTTCCTTTTTATTTACTTGATATTGGCTTTTGTTTTCTAGTTAAAATAAACCTTCATCCATGATTACTCTCTCTCCTTTCCAGCTTTTATAAGAAACCTACATTACATGAAAGTCATTGTTTACCAGACAATCCCCTATCCTTAAAATACCCATTTATGCTAATACATTTCTGAGAACTAGATCCAAATCTGATTATTTCTTTGTTAGACTAAAAATATAACAATCTAGAAAGCGCTACTCAAAACATTGCTGAAACCGTCCTCTTTCTCTATCATTTATATTATACTTAAGCAAATTACCTTTGGATAATTAATGTCATCTATTATTTTATGCCTACTGTTGCAGTATTTTTCTCCAAATTGTCTCGGTACACCTTTCTCCACCACCTTTATACTCTTCAGCAGTCTACTATATACATGCAACGAATTAAGAATTTCCATTGTATTCTTCATCTGTAGTCAAATAGATACAGCTTTGACTCCATCCTCTAAATCACCCCATGTTATAATGTAATCTTGATTAACACTGTCACACCTCCTCTTTTTCTTCTATTCCACCAATATTTAATATTTTATAACCTGTTCAGTTCTGAATCTTGTTCTTCACTAAGTAATCTCTATTGTGACTATCATACTGAACACACAATAGCATTTTTGAGCTTCTAGCTTACTAATTTGATTTACAATACTTTCTGCATTTACGCACATACATCTCATACTTTCCCTTTGGAAATCTTGTTTTATCCTTTCTCTTCTTGTGTTTTTTGATATTTCTGATCTTTGCTTATTTTACTTCCTTCCTCTTTCTTTTTCTAATTCTTAAAATTTATATTTAACTTCCTCACTTCTTATTCTTTTGGGTCAGTAAGTGCAAATGTCAATGTAGTTGATTGCATTTTTCTGTTTCCTATCTATTATTTTAAAATTTCCCCAGAACATTAATACCACAGCTAAAAAGGGTTTCTTCTCTAGGGTTTGTTTAGATGGAATCCATTCATCGTGGTCAACCATTCTCAGCTCAGAACTGGTCCCAATATTCTAGGAATATGATCTCTTCACCTCTTTCCATCTTTCCAGATATTCACTATACTGCTGTAACTGTACTGATATTTTTTATTCATTTATACATGCATTCATTGCATATGATACCTTGAGTAATTCTATAATTATTGTCATTGTTGCGTTGTGCATAACTTTTGTACTGCTATGCCTTAATCACACAGATAGATCTTCAATATGCATGCTGCTTCAATATGTGTGAGCAACTTGCTCCAACCTCGTCAATCTGCTGATATACCTTTTGCCTCAATACACTTACAATTTTCATCTTCTATTGCACCTTTAGCCCACAGACAGACAAACATATGAAACTGGGGCAGGCCCCTCGAGCCTTTTCTGTTATTCAACATGATCATGGCTGATCTCACAATAGTCTTAACTTCACTTTCTTGGCTGACCCCCCCATAAACCGTAACTCCTTTGTTGACCAAAAATCTGTGTAACTCAGCTTGGAACGTATTCAATCATCCAGCCTCCAGTGATTGTGGAGGAAGAGAATCCAAAACACTAATGGCTCTTTGAAAGAGGAACGTCCTCCTCACCTCCATCTTAAATGGGAAATGCCTTATTTTAAAATTCTGCTCCCTCATCCTAATTTCCCCTACGGGGGTTCAGCAGCTGCTCTGTCAGCTCCCTCTGGGACATTTTTAACCAGATATAGGGTTTCACCTTCATACACCAGAATATTCGCACATTTTATTATATATACATATATGGGATATATAAAAAACCAAGAGTGCACCAAAATAACTTCACTCGCACTCTCCTGCCCCACCCCCAAAACTGTCTGAAAAAACTTCATTGTAAAATCTTTCCCTCCATTGTCATGGTTAGCAGGTATTGCCATCTGGTGGTAGAAGCTGATAAGATTTTAGTCGAAGGAGGATTGTTCGGATCAGAAGAGGGAATTTACCCGAGTAGAAAAGCCCAAACAATAATGAGAACATTTCCTTGTTGTTCAGAATCATTTACACAATTGTCATGGCCAAAACTATGTTTAACTCAGGTATTCCAATGACAATGAAAAAGGGACATAGCTTGATTGACGTGAAAGCCTATTTTGAGCAGTTGAACAGAACAAGTGGGTGACTTTGCGCATTCTTTTATATATATTTCTGTTCAGACATGCTATGGTAAACCTCTAGAGCAGTTCAAACTTGAATGCAGGCCTCCTAGCCCAGAGGCAGGAACACTAACCTGGTACCACAAAAGCTCTGATAATATTGGCAATCTTACCAGTAAATATTTGTAATTAAACTCTTCGCAGGTCTGGGGCAGGTGAGACTCAAACCCCGATCACCTGACCAAGAGGTAGGAACTCTAGTACTGCACTTCTATACTCAGCTATTCCGCAGTTCAAAGTGCATACCAGTCAGCCAGTATGGTCTTGACAATTTTATTTTCCTGCCCAAAACGGATTACTACCTCATCACTTTCAGGTGATTAGGCTCAAGTGATATATCACCCAGTTGTAAGATTGCAGAATGTATTGAAGGTAAAGCTGATTTTGGAATAATCAAAAAAAGAGATCATTAACAAGGAGAATAAAGTTAATGTTTTCCTCTTGTTGATTGGTTAACAGGCTATAAGTCTAAGAACTATAAGTTTACCAATAAGGAATCAAACAAAACT